GTGGTGCACACCTGTAATCCCAGCACTATGAGTGGCAGACACGGGAGCATCACGAATGTGCACCCAGGCTGGGAAACTTAGCAAGACTCTAAAAAACAAACAAACAAAAAAGCCAGCCTGGGGTAAAATTTGTGAGATGTCCCTGGGTTTAATCCCTAGTACCACAAAAATAGATAAATTCTAAAAAATTCTAAAAACCAGAAACTTTAAAACTGCTAGAAGATAACGTAAGGGAAGCACTTGAAGCTATGGACAAGGACTTCCCGAACAGAACTCTAATAGCACAGGAAATAATTTCAAGAATCAACAAATGAGGTTATATCAAATTAAAAAGCTTCTGCACACCAAAGGAAACAATTAGCAGAGTGAAGAGACAGCTTGCAGAATGGGGAAAAACCACCAGCCCCTCTTCTTGCAACGGCAAGCAGAGACACCAAAACGACACCCAGGATCTGGAGGCAGATTTATTTTACATCCACAGGCACTGATTGGGATCACTCCCAAAATATGAGGCCCTGATCTCTGGTGTTCTAGGGCTTTTATGGGATGCTCAAGCAGGAAGTACAGAGGCAGAATGGCTTGTCAGTTGGGGATTGGTTTATACAATGTGCATCACGGTGAGCAGCTATGCATCACAGTGGCCAGTCGTTTCTAAGAAACAAAAATAACATGAACTGTAACCAGAAATATTACCTCAGCAACTAACAAACTGAAGTATACTGGCTGGGGTTGTGGGAATCCCCTGGTACATTCTGGTAGGGAGCTAGAAGCTAAAATATGTGAAGAACTCAAGAACAACCCTGAAAAAAAATGACCCAGTCTAAAGAGGCCAATGAACTGAGAGATACTTCTTAAAAGAAGAACAAACAGCCAACAAGTACATGAAAAAAATGTTCAGCCTCTTTGGCCATTGGGGAAATACAAATGAAAGCAACTCTGGGATTCATCTCACCCTGGTCAGAGCGGCTGTCATCAAGAACACCAAAGATGACCAATGCGGGTGAGGATGTGGGGGAAGGACACTTCTACATTGTTGGTGGGCGTGTAAACTAGTACACCTGCTGCGGAAATCAAGATGGAGGTTCCTCAGCAAATTAAAAATAGAAATTCCACTTGACCCAGCCTTTCCTCTCCTGGGTATCTTCCTGGAAGAATGAAAGACATCATACTATAGTGATACATGCCTGCCCATGTTTACAGCAGGACAACTGACAGTACCTAAGCCATTAAAACAGACCTGATGCCCATCAATGGACGAATGGACAAAGAGAATGTGAATATTATTTGGCCATAAAGGAGAATGGAGCTATATCATTTGCAGAAAAATGGATATAGATCTTGAGACCGTAATGCAAAGCGAAGTCAGACATAAACGTAAATGTTGTGTGATTCTCTTATATGAGAAAACTAAAATATAAATAAATGAGCAAAGGAGGAGAAAATGGTAGGAGAACTGGTAGGAAACAAGAAGGCAGACTTTTTGGTGATGGGAAAAGGGGTTGGGGGTAGGGAAGTAAGAGAGAAGGGAGTAAAGGGGTCAAAAATGATTGAAACGTGTTCTATGCATGTAGCCAGTTCTCCAACATGAACCATGATGTGTCCCAAACATATACTAATAAAACAACTTTTTAAAAAGTTACTGAATTCTTTGCCTATGTTGCTGAATACGTGGGAAACTACTCCCTGCCCATGAGCACATGGGCATAGCTTGTGCAGACTTAGCGGACTTACTCAGACTTCACAATGATGCGGCCGGACTTATAATTGCATATACTATATTGCTATATTAAAACAGCGGCACATAGAGGATCTACTTTTAATAACTGGTTACACAAGAGCCCATGGGAATCTTTGTTCTAGGATGCTGTTGTACACCCTGTAATTCACCAAACAAGAGTCAGAAGTGGAAACTTTTGAAATACGCAGTTCATGGTAATCACCCTTCTTATAAGGAGACAATATATTAAAAAAGCTAGAGGGACACGCATCCTGTGATGTTACTATGCTCCAGGCTCTCAAGTTCCCCCCTTAAGCTGACAGCAGCTCACACCGGGCAGTCAGGGTCTCTCAGCTGGCTGCGAGGCCTGCTGTGGGCGGAGCCCCTGTCTGCCCTCAGTAGACCCTGGCCTTTCTGTCCAGGGTCCTGCAAGCTTTCTTCTCTGGCCAGAGGCCCCGCCTCTGTCTAGCAGAGCTCTCCTTCTTCAAGTACTGCCCCAACCTCAGTCCCATCCTAGCCCACCCTGCCAGGGAGGAAGATCCTTCCCCTTCCTGTTCGTGGATGTCCCTGGTGTGGCACCGATCTCCTTGTATGTATTTTAACGTTATAACATGCTGTATTTATGGGACCCTCCTCCTTTCTAGAATTGCCTAAGAGAACCCACAGCTGGAAATTTGCAACATTTTAGAGCCCCTCCAGCTGTGTGGCTTCTACCCTTGTAGAAATGTATTTTTTCTGGGGAGGAATCTAAGGCCTCATACATGCTAGGCAAGTAATCCACCACTGAGCTACACTTCTAGCCCTATTTATTTTATTTTGAGACAGGGTCTTACTAATTGCTCAGGTTGCCCTGGAACTCAAGATTCTCCTGCCTCAGCCTCCAGGTTAGCTGGACTTACAGGTGTGTGTCACTGCACCCAGCCTACATGGGATCTTTTTAAGTCAGTGTGAAGCCCCTGTATTCTAAGTGTATTCCAGTAGTAAAACATGTGCATAGCTATTCTGAATGGCTTTCTTATGTAAAGATGGGGAACACATGACTGTACCCCATAGATTCTTTACCTGTGAGGTGCTTTGATTTCACAGGAGCAGCTCTCGTACCCTTGGCTGATGAAACAGCTCTGCACTGAACCACCACTCTGTCAAGTGGGTGCATTTCTTTCGTTATATCAGTCTGGTGTATTTTACACAGTGAAGTTTTCTCCTGGCGCCAGAACCCGTTAGACCCTGAGTTTCCTCTATTATGTGTCTGTGTGTTGTCAGGTGTGATTTTAAAACATACAAAATGCTTGTCACAGCTCTCTTACATTTGAAAAACAAATTTTTGAGACAGGGTCCTGCTCTATAATCCAGAGCAACTCACAGCGATCCTCCCGCCTCAGCCTCCTAAGTACTGGGATTATAGGCGTGTGCCACCACACTCAGCCATAAGTTTGAAATGATATGAAAATAAGACATTGCTCCAAAGAAATGATCATACAGGCTGCGTTAATTATCATTCGTGTTTGTAAATGGGTGATCACACATGGGTCCCTTTTATTAATGCCTCTGAAATTACTTAGCAATCAGATTGCCTTTTCAGAAGCTTACATGGAATGAGACATTTTCTTAATGGAAACTAATAGCCAGTTCTATTTTTTTTATCCATCTTCCTCGATGTGTAAATCACATGCCATATATTTCACCCACTTAAAGTGTGTAACTCAAAGTTCTTACATCATTTTTTTAAATTGTAGTAAAATATATATAACATAAGATCACCATTGGAACCATTTTTCAGGTACACTTCCGTGATGGGAGGCTGAGGCAGTACGATCACGAGTTCAAGGTCAGCCTGGGCTACACAGTGAGAGTCTGTTTCAAAAAAAAAAAAATCTATTTAAACATTAAATCACTGGGCACATGTTAAATATTGGAAATAAAAAGTGTCAACTAAGCACAAAGAAAAGATGTGATTTTTGCACAAAATTAGCTCTCCCTGAGTGGGTAAAGTTAGGGGAGGCTTGGCACATAAAACACATTTTGCTTAAATTTGAATTTTGATTTAAAAATAGTTATATCTGGATATAGATATATATATGTGGGCCACAGTTGTACTGAAATGATTGCTAAATCTATCTCAAATGTATCTGAAATTCAGGAGAAACAGAACACCCTGTGTCTTGTTGTTAAATCCGTAGAGCAGAGGGGTGGAGAGCAGTTGGCTGGGTGCAGTGCGGTAGCTGGGACAGGAGAGGGGCCAGGCTGGGCAGGGGTGGGTGGGGTGGAGGGGGACTCGTTCTGTGACCTGAGTAGGAACGAAGGGAATTTCACTGGAGCAGGAGGAATAAAATACAGAGAAGGTGGCAGGGTTAGGAGGTGGGAGCTGGTCCCAAGCCCTACCCCTGGCGAGCATTTACTGAGGCTTGGCACGTGCCAGGCACTGGACTAGGCACTCGACACAATGGACCAGGGCAAGGCCACCAAGGTGACTGCGCTGCAAAACTGAAGGAGATGCTCATGCTCAGGGTCCTCTGCCCAACACTCTCAGCCCATTTCACAGCTCAGGAAACTGAGGCTCGGGAGGGCTGTGTGTCCAGGGTCCGTGAGTGAGTTTGCAGCAGCGCCGGTGTGCAAGTCCAGCAGGCTTGTGCCTGTGCCCTCCCCCCGGCCCCGTGCCTGTCTGGTAGCGGGTGGTGGAGCCAGGAGTGGAAGCAGCCTCCCTTCCATCCATCCCAAGTTTCACACGTGGCTTCACCTGGGAGGAAGAGAAGTCCTGCAATGTTTTCAACTCAGTGTGATCTCTGCAAATGGGCAGAGTGGACGGAAGACACCTACCTGTTGGCAATGGTAAAAAATGGAATCCCTAAGCCGGGCATGGTGGTGCACACCTATAATCCCAGCACTCGGGAGGCTGAGGCAGGAGGATTGTTATGAGTTCCAGACCAGCCTGGGCTACAAAGTGAGCTCAAGGCCAGCCTGAGCTGCATAGTGAGAACTTGTCTCAAAAAAAGACACACACACACACACATACAAAAAAAAATAGAATCCCTTTATGTCCTTGACCTTAGCCCAGCAGTTTGCAACCCTGGGTATACACGAGAAGGTCTGGTAAGCTTTCCCAGGTCCCACAAACCCCCAAGAGCCCCCGACAGGTCAGTGGTGGGATCTGGGCATCAGTGTTGGAAAATCCCCTCGGGCTGCAACCTCTGTGGCCGAACTTCACACCCTTAGGCTCATAGATGCCTGACTGACTGCACCAGCAGACAGACTCCAGCTTTGACGAGGGTTTCTTTCTCCTTCCACCCCAAAGGCCTGAGAGTTTTTGGGGATCCCGGTCAGCCAGGCCACAGCGTACCTGTGAAAGGGAGGCTGGCGCCTCACTGGGGACTGGCACGCTTCACCCTCTTGATTTCCTGTGAACGACAGGGGGAGGAGCTGACAAGAGGCTGTTTGCATCCCAAACATGCTTGTTGTGATGTGGGCAAGGCGGCGGCAGCTTCAATCCTGGCTTGTGTGGTGGGGCGGGGTGGGGGGTGGGGGGCACATGATTAGCTCTGTATCTCGCGCATCCGAGGGTTCCCTCTGCTAGGAGCCCTGTCTCACCTCCCCATCCGCGGAACTGTCTACTAGAGCGAAGGGGTGACATCGCACAAAATCCCCTCCAGGCCCTGAGAAGGGGCGCGGGCACGGGATCCAGTAAAGGCAAGAGTCTTCACCGGCCTGAGCCTTGAATGTGTCATCTCTAGCATGAGGATAATCATTCCCTGCTTCCTGGACTCGGCCTACACAGATGAGAGGACACTCAGGTGTCGCCATGCCTGGAAAATGCGGGCCCTCCATCAAAGTAGACATGTTGCTGTGAATTTTGATAGTTCAGAGTATAACCTTGTGTATTTTTATAGTTCAGCTTGGAGCCCCCCATGGAAGGCTGTAGATATTTTTGTGAATATCTGAAAGAACTTTAAAAGGAATCTTTGACAGCATTTCAGATCTTATCTTGGCACAACATGCCCGTTATGAACCCATAGTAATTTATCAGTGTCTACCTTAAATGATACCAAGGTTTGCTGTCGGGGCTGAGTCTATTCATTCTACCTCAGCCTTTCCTGCGCTTCCAGTCCACACCGTTTGGATGTTTTCGAGGTCTGGAAACAACAGCACCGCTTGGGAGGTCTTCGGAACTGCACAATCTCAGGATCCACCCTAGACCTGTGGGTCAGAGTCGCATTTCAGCAACATCTGCCAGCGGTCTGTGTGCATTTTGGTTTCAGAAGCCTTGTCTTAGACACCAAACTTCTGGAGCCTGAGGCAGGGAGAAAGCAATGATTCCCATGCATGCTACTGATATAGGGAAATGTAACTCCCGACCTGCTAGATGCCCTTTACAACGGAGTTCCCCAGAATGCAAGAATGAATTCCGAGGAACAATGGAGGTTAAGAGTAGGAATTTTACTGAGGGAAAGACAGCTCCTGAGAGACAGGAGGGGACCCAGAAAGTGAGCTGCGAAGGGTCCCACTTACAGAGGAGGTTTTATGGAACCAAATCATGAGGTGGGTATAAAATTATGGTCAGCCAATAAGATTAGCAGTGTAGTTGCTTTGGCAATACTGATCCAATGGGGAATCAAGTCACATAGCAGGTGTACATGGATGACATCACTAACCTTAATCGATAACCCATAGTCCTAGTCTTCGTAGGTGGGAGAGGACCGCCCATCCCCTGAGATAATGGTTTCCTTGAAAAATCTCAAAAGGGCGGTGCCAATAATCTCAGACTTCTGTTTGTCCCCTAGGAGTATGGAAATCTGGCCATTGTGACTTAATCTTCCTCAGCCACAGTTCTGATATGTTCTCATCTTTTGCACTAACTCCCTCCAGGGCCTAGCCCTGTCTGACTATCTATATTTCTCCTCACCTAGCTGTCTATAATGCTATGGTTTTGTGTTTGTTTTTTGAGACAGGGTCTCACTATGTTGTCTAGACTGGCCTTGAAATTGCTTTTTAGTCCAGGCTTATGATCTGCCTGCCTCAGCCTTCCAGGGCCAGGATTATGGGCATGCCCACCATACATGTATGCTGCAGTTTGAGAAATACCCAGATAAGCTTCCACACCCAGCTTGGAGGAAGACAAGCAACCCAGTACTGCAGAGGTGATTTCTATAATTAGGAAAGGGACGAGAAGAAGAAACCAAAAGCACCTGAGGGTTGAATGTCTGGCAGGTACGTGCCATTTCCTGTGAAAGAGACTTTGTTATTCCTATTTTATCAATGAAAACACTGAGGTTGATAAGGGTAAGAAACCTGGAAGGCCCTGCTACAGCTGAGTGAGCCGAAAATACTCCAGGTTCTTGTGTAGGACAGGAAAGAATTACCAGGCGCACACCTCCTAGTATGTAGTAAGTAGCTACATTCATAGAAGATCACTGAACTGCAGCAGGAAGAAGGGCAAAGGGAAAAAGAGGGTGAAAGGGAAACAGGAACCCAAGTTCAAAGGGAAAAACGAGTCTCAGTAAGTCAGGCTTCTGATCTATAGGGTCAGATGCCACTGACCCAAGGCGCCACCCAACGTCACGCTCTCTGATGTCAGCAATCTGCGCGACCTCCTCGTTTAAGCCTGGGTAACCACTGGTCTATAGTTGAATGAAGAAGGAAGTGGCTCAACAACTTTGCTGTGTTAGGCTGTGGGGAGCACAGATAACCATTAGGGTGGTATGGCCTTTACAGCTAAAGGAAGGGAAGGGCGTGACTCAGCTCCCTTGTTTCCAGCGGTCCTTGCCAATTAGCAGAGGAGGTGGGATTCTAGCTACTCCCTTAGTAGCTACTTCTAAGGCAGAGCTCATCGCTCCTGCGCGCTACTTTGCAGAGAGGACGTGCTGCTTACACTAATGTCCTAGGCTTCCAGCTGAAGCGTAGCTCTCCACCTTACAACGCTTTTCTCCTTGCAGATTCCCTTCTATTTCATTTCTTCCCTTGGGTTTTAATCAGAGACCATCTCTTTTTAAAGATATTGTAACACCTGGGGAGGGGCGCGCAGAGCTCCACGCCGCGCTGTGCCACACCACGCCACAATGCGCAGCTGCTCTGCCGGAAAACACCGCTCCCGGCTACCCTAAACCCAGCGTCAGTAAAAGAAGCAGAGTTTAAAATAAAAGACAACTTATTGGAAGATGAGCGGAGTGGGGAGAGAAAGAGAGATGGCAGACAGCTGCTCTGGATGAGCAGGGAGTATTCCAAAGGGAAACACTTCTGGATTCTTGTCTGTAGCGCTTTATATTTGGATCCTGGAATCTGATTGGCTGCCCCGCTTGTCTTTCCTCCTAACCTTGGATTTCTTCTTCAGGCTGTGATTTTGGTAGAAGGTGAGGTTATGGGTGGGCGGGCTTATGGAAAGATAGTTTAGGTTTAAAGATTATGTAAAAGGGAAGCGTGCGAGTCCCGTGTTAATCTGCTGTCTGGGGCCTTCCTGGTCCTACGTTTCTTCCTCGTTCTTTCCCTTTGTCTGATTGCTCCAGTGCAGTCTGCAGGGGCAGAAGCCCCCTTAGAAGGATCTTCATTAATTTAATAAAGCTCAGTGCGGCCTTCATCCTATCTTTTCCCTGCCTACAGGGCCCCCTGTCCCTACAGTATAACTTATACACCATAACATGCAGCCTTTGAAAGCGCACAGTTTGACGTTTCCTTGTATATGCAGAGTTACGCAAGGATCACCATTATCTAATTCCAACACATGCTCACCCCCCAATGAAGAAACCCCAATGAAGAAATCCATTACCTCTCCTCCCCCAAGTCTTCTAAGCCACTGTGCTACATTTGCCTCTAAGAGTTTGCCTACTCTGAACAATTCATGGAAATAGAATTATGTGACAGGTAGACTTTGGGAAGGGCCCTCTGCCACTTGGCATAATGCTTTCAAAGTTCACCCATGTCCCAGTAGGCATCAGTATGACATTCCTTTTTATTGCCGAGTAATATTCCATCATAATATTACAACAGCACATGTTGCATATCCATTGACCAGTTGATGGACATTTGGATTGTTTCTACTTTTATCATTATTATGCATAATTCTGCCTAACATTTTATTATAGACAGCTAGGTTAGTTAGAAATATTATAGGCAGTCAGGCAGGGCTAGGCCCTCAAAGCAGTCAGTGCAGAAGATGAAAACACATTACAACTGTGGGTGGAGGCGCACGCACTGAAGGCCAGGCCTCAAGACAAAGGCCTCAGTGACTACACCTACATACCTCCCCAGGGATAAACAAATAATGGGTGATATTCTAAATAGGCATCAGCCACCTGAGTGGTGACCAAGACCTCCTGATTCATCCCTTCCAGGAAAGGTCCTTGTTCTTTCCGTGTACCCTTGCTACATGACTTGCTTCCACAGTGGATCAATATTACCCGGGCAACTATACTTGCGATTCTCTAAGTATTCTTCAGAGAATACTTGCGATCTTATTGGTTGCCCACAGCTTTGTCCCACCTTATTCCCACCTGTGATTTTGTACCCACCTCGTGATTTTGCTCTATAAAACCTCCTCTGAGAGGTGGGCTCCTGGGCAACCCACTTTCCAGGTCCCCTCCTGTCTCCCATAGGCAGGGGCTGGCTTTGCCTCAATAAGATTCCTACTCTTAACCTCCACTGTTCCTCAGAACTCATTCTTTGATTTTGGGGAACATAACTCGGTGTACTGGACAGCTAGCAGATTGGGAGTTATAATATTTCCCTTATATCATCTGGAGGTTCCCAATAGCATTGCTACAACAATTTGAGTACCGGTTTTTGTGAGACATGCACTTTCAGTTCTCTTGGGTGTATGCCCAGGCGTAGAATTGCTGGGTCATATGAAAACTGCACATGGAACTTTTTGAGCAACTTCCAGATTGTCCTCAGAGAATACTTTGACCAATGCTTTTTTTTTTTTTTTTTTTTTGAGACACGGCCTCGCTATGCAGCTCAGGCTGGCCTCAAACTCTTGGTGATCCTCCTGCCTCAGCCTCCCAAGTGCTAGGTTTGCAAGTGTGCGCCACCACATCTGGCCTTGTCCGGCCTTGACCAATATTTTTACACCATATTGGAGTTAAACAAGAACAGAATTTAGTCAGACTCAGAGAGCCACGGAACTGCAGAGACAGGAAGTAGAAGTGATTCAGTCAACTTTAACCCAAACCACAGCTGATGCAGAGGCAAGAGATAAATTTTACCCAAATCCAGGAAAGCCCATATGTAAGGGCCTGTGACCGGTGAGGACTGTGTGTCATCACCAGTCACCATCTTCAGAGGATCCTGGAGACCTACATTCAAGTCCCAGCCTGGGCTCACACCGTGTGGCCTCAGGTGAATGCCTTCCTCTTTCTGGGCTCAGACTTCCCATCCGAAGTGAGAAATAGCCTCTGCTTGTGTTCTTACTGCTGAACGCCCTTCCCCAGCCCTCCCATCCCTGGCCCTTCCATAGCTCTGTGGGTCAAGCCAGTGGGTGGCTGTGTGCTTTTCTGGTATCAGCATCCACTCCGGGGATTGCTACAATTGACTTCCGGAAATTACTGGAATTGCAGGTGCACCCAGAGTGGCCAAAAGCCTGATGTCCCTGGGACTGATGGCCTCAGCTCCCATGGACAGATTCGTGGGTACCCAGCTGTTAGGCCCTGCTGATGTGAGAATGAAATTCACCTGCGGGGAAAGAGTGTAACTAACCATGGCACCCGCTATACCATACCCTGCTTGTTTAAAATTCTATTTGGCCCTTTAAAGAAAAAAAAATTTTTTTCTGCTGACCCTAGCCTATCCTGACTAGCAGAAATTTCACAGCACAAAGCATAGCGCAGGACCCCATAACACCCACCCTTCTGGAGTACACTATTTGCTCCATGCTGGGAGCCCTGGCCTTCCCGCACTCTGCCCGCTGGCCCTGAGTGAGTGGAATGTACCGGGGCCAGATGTGCAGCACGAGGGTGCCAGGGAAGAGGGTGCCAGGGAAGGGAAGAGGGTGCCAGGTCTAGATTATCTACCACCCTCCGCCCACTCGCCGTGCTGGGCACGGGCCCCTCTGCTTCTTGACCAGAGTGGTCCTAGCCTGAGGCCAGTTTGCACGGTCCTAGGGCCCGAACACCCTTGCCTCGTCTGCTAACGCCACTGTGTGCCTCGGCCTCCCCAGGACGAGGCACCCCACATTTGCAGGACGCAGCTTCCATCGCTCCCCCTGCTGCAGGATCACAGCAGCTGTGGCCCCAGACTGCAGGGCGCCAGTGGGGGCCTGTTCTCCTCCGCCCAGGCCTGGACCTCCCATCCAGAGGATTCCCGCAGGGTCTGGACCGCTGTGCTCCGCTCGGTGGCACCATCCAGGAATCCAGGACCATCGTCTGCCTCGGCCTCTGGAGTGCTAGGATTCAGCATGTCGCAGTACTCCCTGCTTTATGTGTCTCTGTCTTGATCCTTTTTATCCCCGTCCCCATCACTCAAACGCCCACCCCCCGATTCTTACACACAAAAGAAAGGAGGTAAAGGGAACAGGGCAGCTGTCGAGTGATGGGAATTCATTCCCTCCAGCCCTTCCCATTTGTCTGTGCTTCTCGGTTCCTGGCGCTTTGATTTTTTCAGGAGCCTGCCGTGCAGCACCTTCCTGCCCCGTGGCTTGGGCAGGTTTAAGCCTTAGCATCTGGCCTGTAAATGACCAGGAACAAAAGGGCCCCCAAGGAAGGACTCAGGAGGATTCCCAAAAGGACACAGCAAGAAGCGGGAGGGCATATTTGACAGGCCTGGAAGAACGGAACAGTGGCAAGTG